CCCCCAAAACCCCAAAACCCCTGTCTGCATGCTTATTAAAAATTAAAGGTATTTGAAATTTTATCTTGAAATTAAATACAATCAATATTTTCATCAACTGAAAGCTTGCACTTGAATAATCTCAGTATCAAATCAAGTAAATTTAGGTTGAAAATTAGAAATATATATGAGATTTACCATTCTATAGTTGGCGAGTTTTTGAAAATACGTATCAGAAAAGAGAGTCATTAAGGATAAAGAGTGAAACGATTATAAGAGATGTGCATATTTAGATAATATTTGCTGAAGTCGAAAATGATTCTATATAACCTTGACTCAAATCCAAATACTTAAATCCTCTGTTAGCAGCTGTGCATGGTTGAACCGCTCCCCCTGATATACTTCCAAAGGCATAAATTGAAAATTCTATCTTGGGTGAAAGTACATAGTCTGAATTCAAATCTTTTGTAGCGAAGAGTCTTTCGAATGACACAGAGAAGTTGGCTTTTGTTAATGTTTAGCCTGCAGTTTTTATAATAGGGTTGCTGTTTGTTTTGACATTTTATATACTCTAAGTTGTATCATTAAATCTGCCTCTAGAATTGTCTGTGTACTAATCAGAGCAGTGGAATATGTCACTCTAACTATTTGTATAGTAATATCTGCAAGTAACCATATCAGTGTTAGTCATCGTTTTAGATCCATATCCTATTCCAAGCCAAACTCCCTGCTAACCGTTAGCAGAAGACCAAGAACTTATATCATAGTTGTTCAGAACAAGTGTCATAATGACTTTGGTATCTTCAACCTCTTTTGCCAGTGATTAGTCGATTTCATAGTGTAGTTAATAAATTGGATCTGCAAATGTGTATTCCAATATAGTAGATTCAACTGGTAAGAGACTGAATAATACCAGGGAAATTAGAAGCAAAGATAATTTATCTCTCATATTGAAAATATTATTTGAATACTAATTTTAATTACAATTTATTCCATCTTATTTAAACTACTGGGGTTTTGGGGTTTTGGGGAGATCGGAAGAGCG